GCACAGACCCTCCTGGGTATGGACACTTCTGGGCATGAAGCCTTCTGGGCATGGACACTCCTGGGCACAGACCTTCATGGGCATGCACCCTCCTGGGCACAGTCCCTCCTGGCATGAGCCTTTGTATTACTCTGTTTTCATACTGCTATAAAGAATTGCCTGGGACTGAGTAATCTATAAAGGAAAGAGGTTTAATTGACTCACAGTTCAGCATGGCTGGGGAGGCCTCAGGAAACTTACAATCATGGTGGAAATCAAAGGGGAAGCAAAACACCTTCTTCACAAGGTGGCAGGAAGGAGAAGTGCCAAGCCAAGGAGGAAGGGCACGTTGTAAAATCATCAGATCTCAGGAGACAACATGGGGGAACCATCCCCTGATTCAATCACCTGCACCTGTTCTCTCCCCTAACACATGGGGACTACAATTCAGGATGAGATTTGGGTGGGGACACAAAGCCTAATTATACCATTCCACCCTGGACCCTCCCAAATCTCACATCTCTTTTACATTTCAAAACCAGTCATGCCTTCCCGAGAGTCCCCCAAAGTCTTCATTCATTCCAGCATTAACCCAAAAGTCTAAGACCAAAGTGTCATCTCAGACAAGGCAAGTCCCTTCTGCCTAAGAACCTGTAAAATCAAAAGCAAGTTAGTTACACCCTAGATACAATGAGAGTACAAGTACTGGGTAAATACATCCATTCCAAATGGGATAAACTGGCCAAAATGAAGGGGCCACAGGCCCCATGAGAGTCCAAAATCAAGCAGGCAGTCAAAACTTAAAGCTCCAGAATGATCTCCACATCTTACATCTAGGTCAGGCTCATGTAAGAGGTGGGCTTCCATGACCTGGGGTAGTCCCACCCCTGATGCTTTGCAGGGTGCAGCCTCCCCTCCAGCTGCCTTCACAGGCTGGTGTTGAGTGTCGGTGGTCTTTCCAGGTGCATGGTGCAAGCTGTCAGTGGATCTACCATTCTGGGGGCTGAAGGGTGGTGGCCCACTTCTCACAACTCCACCAGCAGTAGGCAGTACTCCAGTGGTGACTCTGTGGGGGCTCCAACCCCACATATCCCTTCTATGCTGCCCTAGCAGAGGTTCTACAGGAGGTAGCACCAGTGCAGCAAACTTCTGTGTACCTGCAGGCCCAACACCGCATGTAAGCCACCAAGGTCTGGGGCTTGCACCTTCTGAAGCAAAGGCCTGCGCTGTACATTGACCCCTTTTAGCCACTGCTGTGATGCAGGGCACCAAGTCCCGAGACTGCACAAAGCAGCAGGCCCTGGGCCCCAGCCAAGAAACCATTTTCTCCTCCTGGGCCTCCAGGCCTGTGATGGGTGGGGCTGCTGTGAAGACCTCTGACATGCCCTGGAGACATTTCCCCCATTGTCTAGGCTATTAATGCGTGGGTCCTAGTTACTTATGCAAATTTCTGCAGCTGGCTTGAATTTCTCCGCAGAAAATTGGTTTTTCTTTTCTATCCCATAGTCAGGATGCAAATTTTCTAAACTTTTATACTTTGCTTCCCTTTTAAATGTGAGTTCCAATTCTAAGTCATGTATTGGTGAATACATGAAATTGAATGCTTTAAGAGCATCTAATTCACATTTTGAATGCTTTGCTGCTTAGAAATGTCTTTTGCCAGATACCCCAAATCATCTCTCTCACTTTCAAAGTTCCACAGATCTCTATGGAAGGGGCATAATGCTGCCAATCTCTTTGCTAAAACATAGCAAGAATCACCTTTAATCCAGTTTCCAACAAATTCCTCATCATCTGAGGCCACCTCAGCCTGGAATTCACTGTCTCTATCCCTACTACTCAACAAGTCTCTAGGAAATTCCATTTTCCCAACATATTTGTCTTCTTCTGAGTCCTCCAAACTGTTCCAGCCTCTGACTGTTACCCAGTTCCAAAGTCACTTCCGCATTTTTGGGATCTTCATAGAAGTACCCCACTCTCTTTGGTACCAATTGACTGCATTAGTCTGTTTTCATACTGCTGTGAAGAACTGCCTGAGACTGGGTAATTTTAAATGAAAGAGGTTTAATTGACCCTCAGTTCAGCATGGCTGGGGAGGCCTCAGGAAACTTGCAATCATGGCAAAAGGTGAAGGGGAAGCAAGGCACCTTCTTCCCAAGGCAGCAGGAAGGAGAAGTGCCAAGTGAAGGGGGCAGAGCCCCTTGTAAAACCATCAAATCTCATGAGGACTCACTATCATGAAAACAGCATGTGAAAAGCAGCCCCATGATTCAATTACTTCCACGTGGTCTCTCCCTTGACACATGGGGACTTAAAGGCATTACAATTCAAGGTGAGATTGCGTGGGGACACAAAGCCTAACTGTATCAGCCCTCTGGGGCACGGATCCTCCTGGGCATGGGCCTTCCTGGGCATGAGGCTCTCATGGGCATGGACCTTACTGGGCATAGACCCTCCTGGGCATGGGGTTCTCCTGGACATGGTCCTTCCAGGGCACAGGGCTCTGTTGTGTATGGGCCCTCCTCAGCACGGACTCTCCTTGGCATGGAACCTCTCTGACATGGATGCTCCTGGAAACGGACCTCCCTGGGCATGGACCCTCCTTGACATGGACCCTTCTGGGCATAGACCTTCCTGGGCATGGACATTCTTGGGCATGGATCCTCCTTGCACAGGGTCCTCCCTGGGCATAAACCCTCCTGAGCATGCATGGCTCCTCCTGGGCACAGAACCTCCTGGACACAACCCCCCCACCCCAGGCACGGACATGCTTGGGTATGGACCCTCATGGACATGGGACCTTTTTGGGGATGGAGCTCTCCTGGGCACAGGACCCTCCTGGGAATGGGGCCCTCCTGCTCATGGACCCTCCTGGGCATAAACCCTCCTGCGCATGCACCCTTTTAGGCACAGGGACCTCATGGGGCTCTCCTAGGCATGGGCCCTCCTGAGCCTGGGGCCCACAAACCCCATGAGGTTGGCCCAGACCATGCGGATGGCCTTGCCAGTGGCCTCTGCCTGCCCCATGTTGGCTGCATGCTCGTGCTGTGCCCCTGCCAGAACCTGACTGCCATCTCTCTCCAGTCTTGCAGAATGCAGAGCGGGGGGGGCGGTGCCTGTGCAGACACAGTGTGGGATGACAGGATGGGCATGAGCCCGGGCCAGCTGGTCTACACTCGCAGGAGGTCTCTGGAGAGCTCCATCTGTCCAGCGTGGGTTTCAAGATGCCCTCCATGTAGAAACCAGCAGGATGCCCCACCTCTGCCTGGGTGGGCACCCAGTCCCTGCCCCTGCCAGACGTGGCTTCCAGCCTTTCCCTGAAGGAAGGACAAGAGGGCTGTGTCCCTTGACAGACCCTGGCCGCCCCTCACTGACACCCCATCCCAAACCACCTCTCACCTGCATGAACTTGGTCACCCCCGCTTGCTCTGCTGTGCAGGTCCTACATGGAGACCAGCTGCTCCCAGACCCACCTTAAGTGAGGAAACCTGGGCTGGGGGCCTCTAGTGTGGTCCCGCCAGGAGCTTCCAGGGGCCCTGCCCATCCTCCAGATGGGTGGGGGGGTGAAGGGGTAAAAGGGTCCAAGGAGGGCCTGCAAGTGAAAAGCCCCAAAGGGTCTCCTGGAAGATGTCCCCTGGTCCCCCGAGCCACGTGCTCCCTCCCTGCCTCCTGCCACATGAGTGGGCAACACAGAGGGCCCCACCAGGACTGACTCCGGGCGGGGAGTTTGGTTTCAGCCCCAGGGGGTGGTGGCAGGTGTCATCAAGGCCACACCCTGGCCAGCAAGAACCCACCCTGGCCAGGTGAGCTGGCTCTGGGGGTGGCAAGAGTGTGGCCTCGTCCTGGGGGTCTCGGGTTGGCCTGGCTCTGGCCTCAGTCCTCTTGCCCTTAACCCTGTCCCTCTCTCTTCCCAGGAGAGCATGTGTGAGGGCCATCCCTGCCCACCCAAGGCTCCAAGAGGGTGCACAGTGAGTTCAGGGCTGATCCTGGGCTCCTTGCTGCTGGTCCCAGCTTCCCCTGGCAGGCAGCACCTCCCGGAGCCCCGAGGCCTGGCCCCCAGCACCCACAGTGTGCCTCCTAGGTGAGGGTCACACACAGAGAGTCCTGGCTTTTGTGGGCCTTGGCGCTGGGAGGCGCAGCCAGCGCAGACGCCTCCTGGAACTCCTTGGCCATGTAGTAGTAGCAGATGGCATCCAGGCAGCAGTTGGCATCCGAGAGCTTGCTGGTTATGTAGAGGACATGGTTGAGAGTCTTCAGGAGGCCACAGGCGTGGAGGCCCACAGCGACGCGCACCGTCAGGGCCACGTGCAGGGGCAGGAAGCAGACCACGAAGACCACGAGGTTGGCCCAAACCATGCGGGCGGCCTTGCTGGTGGCCTCTGCCTGCTCCACGTCAGCGGGTGGCCTCTGGGCCAGGGCGGTCAGCACCTTCAGGGAGCAGAAGACCACCACGGCCAGCGGCAGGTAGAAGCCCAGCAGCGAGATGGCCACGGAGTTAAAATTGTGCCGGGAGCTCCTGAAGCAGAAGCCGCCCTCCTGCATCCCCAGGAGCCAGCGAGCCACCAGGGAGCTGACCACCAGCACCCAGAGGACCACGCACACGGCCGCAGCCTGCCGGGGGGACCGCAGCCAGCGGGCGCGCAGCGGGTGCCGCACGGCCACATAGCGGTCCACAGCGATGGCCATGACCAGGCTGATGCTCATGTACCTGTTGGTCAGGTAGATGCCCTGGGAGAGCTGGCACAGCGGCGTGTCCGAGGTGTCCTGCAGGGAGTGCAGCACGAAGGGCAGGGCGCACAGCAGGCAGAGGTCGGCCACCGCCAGGTTGCTCATGTAGATGCGGGTCTCTGTCCACTGCTGCATGCGGCAGAGGAACACCCAGAGTGCCAGGCCGTTGAGCAGCAGGCCCAGCACCAGCAGGACGCCCGAGTAGGCGTAGAAGCCGAGCCTGAGCAGCGGGGGCCATGTGATGTCGCTGGAGTTGCAGGTGTTGGAGGTGCCGTTCATGGTCCTGGGGCTGCGGGGGGCGCGGCGGTCAGCAGAGAGCCAGCGGGAAGAGCGAGGCACTGCCCCACTCCGCCCACCTGCGGCCAGGGATGGGGGAGGAGGTGAGCCCCAACCCCACATCCACAAGCACAGAACTCTCAAAGAAATCATGGATGCCATAAAGAACTCCAGTCACCCTTGAGGTCTAAGCCCTGGACAGATCCCTTCCCATCTCCCAAGCCCCACTCTCCTGGGACCTGACTGCTGTCACAGGACAGGAAGGGAGGCAGAAGGAGCTCCACATCCCCGTTCAGTCCCCAGCTGAGCAAGCGCTGCTCTCCAGAGCTGAAATCTTGGACAGGGAGCCCAAAGGGCTGCCAGCCTCACCCAGCACACAGCTCAGCAGGGAGGGCTGCGAGGCGGCAGCACCTGTCAGCCTGAGGATGGGACGGCCAGGTTCCTGGACAAAGCCCAGGGCGGCTCCTCCACCCCTCCCAGGACCCAGCTGCAGGAGGCACCCACATTCTACCCCACACCTCCAGTGCCCTTCCCCACGGCACAGTCCAGGACAGCTGTGGCCTGCCCCTCCCTCCCTGTGAGCACCCACCCACCCAGTCCTGAGCTCTGGAGGGCCTTCCTGGATCAGCCTGAGGCCCCATCCCAGTCCTACATCTGAGATGGGGGGTCCACCCCTTGAGGTCCCAGTGGTCAGAGCCCATGAGGGCAGCTCTGTCCCTCCAGGCCCTGGCCGTGCTGCTCAGGGGCCCCCCTGAGACCAGCCCAGGGTGGACTTCGGCAGGGTCTGGCGTCCAGGACACAGGCTGGAGTCACCCTGACTCGGCATCCCCCAGGCTGGGCAAACTTGTTTCCTCATGGTAAGGGGTGCCGGTGTCGCACAGGGGTGTGGTGTGAGGTGGAGCTGGTGGCGAGCACCAAGAGCCCAGGACTCACAGCCACATGTCCCCCCGCCCGGGCCCCTCAGTGGGTCCAGGAAGAGCCTGGAGGGGCGGGGTAGGAGAAGCCTCTCCCCCGATGGCCAGGCTGTTCTCGGGGGCATCCCACAGGGGTTTCCTGCTGGCCTGGTGTGGAGGCGGGAAGGACAGTTCACAGCGAAGGGCCTCCCTCCTCCCTCCACCTCCTCCCTCTGCTTCGGGGAGCACAGAAATTCCCCCACATCAGGAGAGGGGACAGCGTCTGAACCCCGTGACTGCAGCTGCTGGGGACCATTCGTGCTGGTGGCCCCTGGGGACTCCAGGTCTCCAGTCCATGAGGGATGCAGGGCACCGACTTCAGCTGGAAACAGACACTTTCCGCCCTCTGGCTCCATCCGTCTCCTTAGACCCCTTGCTGGCTTCCAGGTTTCAGGAGCCCTTCCCTGTGGGCAAAGAGCTGGCACCCAGGGCCTCTCTCCTCCCTTCTGATGGACCCGCTTGCTTCTCTCTGATTCACGAGCAGCACCTCGCCCTGGTTCCGGGGACCTCTGGAGGGACCCTGAGCCAGGCCAAGCGCTGAGGACATCCCAGAACCCACTGGAACCATCCGCTGGGATCTTCCCTTCCGGCCTGTCCTGTGCTCCTGCGGGCCAGGGGCCGCGAGATCCCAGAACCTGCTCAGAATCTGCACTTCAGAGGCACCTGAGCTAGGCCGACCCGTGCGCTGGGGAGGCCTCCAGGTGACTGGCCTTCCGTTCCCCCGCCTGAGCTCTCGCATCCACCAAAGTCTAGGGCCAGCCTTGGGCAGGGCGCAGCCCTGGCAGGTGGAGGGGGCTGCATGGCTAGAGGGCAATTCCTTCCTGTCCCTTCTTGAGCAGTGGCAGCCTGAGACCTGCCTGGAGGGAGGTGAGGGCCGGGGGCTCGTGGGCCTGGCCCCTCCCATTGCCCAGCTTCCCCCTCCTCCCCATGGCTGCCAAGGGGCTCTCAGGCCACACATTCCCAGGGCCGTAACTGTCATGCTAGCCTCAGTGTGGCCCAGTATTTTGTGGGGCACGGTGGCTCACACCTGTAATCCCAACGCTGGGAGGCTGAGGCTGGAGGATAACTTGAGGCCAGAACTTGAAGAATAACCTGGGCAACATAGGGAGACCCCACCTCTACAAACACATGTAAAAAGGCGAGCTGGGCCGGGCGCGGTGGCTCAAGCCTGTAATCCCAGCACTGTGGGAGGCCGAGGCGGGTGGATCACGAGGTCAAGAGATCGAGACCATCCTGGTCAACCCCGTCTCTACTAAAAATACAAAAAATTAGCTGGGCATGGTGGCGCGTGCCTGTAATCCCAGCTACTCAGGAGGCTGAGGCAGGAGAATTGCCTGAACCCAGGAGGCGGAGGTTGCGGTGAGCCGAGATCGCGCCATTGCACTCCAGCCTGGGTAACAAGAGCAAAACTCCAACTCAAAAAAAAAAAAAAAAAGACGAGCTGGGCTGGTGATGCGTGCCTGTAGTTCCAGGTCCCCGGGAGGCCGAGGCAGGAAGGGGGCCCGACGAAGTGGGGGCTGCAGTGAGCTCCGACCGCACCCCTGCGCTCCAGCCCTAGGAGAGAGTGACACCCTGTCTCTAAGAAGAGAAAACATCTAACTGCAATATTTAAAATATTCCCATTCATAATAAAATAAACACTGAGCTGTTAGGGAGGAAAGGCAAATGCTGCACGGGGCTCTGAAGAGGTTCCCTGTCCATGGGTCCTTGTCACGCCTGTCAGGTGCCTCCCAAAAAAGGTCAGGAAATCAAGGCCCAGGCTTCAGCCCAGACAGCACGGAGTCCCCGGGAGCTACCATGGTCAGCACAGGTGCCCACCTACTGCCCCAGCCCCACCCAGGAATCTGTGTCCAGGCCACGGGCCACAGCTGGCCTCCGCCTCAGATCCTCAGGCCCGTCCTCCTGGCAGACACCAGCACCGTCAGCCTCAGGGAGCTCCCGCTGCCAGTGACCGGGGGACGGGACCCTGCCACTTCCTGCCCAGGAGGCCGTGGGGACAGGAGCCAGCCGCACGCCTCCGAGGGCCCACTTCCCCTTCCGATGACAAGGTCAGCATTGGCTTCCACACACAAAAGCAGAAAGCTGCCCTTGATTCTGCACAGAGCAATCTGGGGAGAAGCTTGCCGGTAGACGGGCGGCCCAGCGGCACCGGGGGCCTCGCCAGCCCTTCCCACTGTCTGGACTGGGACCCATCTACACCCCCGAGTACCTGGCTGGCCTGGAGCTGGGAATACAGGCCCTGACCACTGCCTAAGACATGGGGGCCAGGAGTGGGGCACAGATCCCTGCTGCCCAGGCACCAAAGAGGGCCCCATACCTGTGAGCCCTCCAGGCCTGGCCCCCACATACAACACCCCAGGACCCAGGAGGGGCCTGGGAGTGAAACAAGTTCACAAAGGCAGCTGCTCACCCCAGGCCCCAGCACGGGGATGTTTTACATTCTGGTTTTTACATTCTGCCACGTCCCACACTTCAGCAAGCTGGTACCCACAGGCTACAAGCCCCCATCAGCCTCAGCCCCACTTGAGACCCCACCACAGCCTCAGCCCACTCTGAGACCCCATCACAGCCTCACCCCACTCCGGGGACCCCATCACAGCCTCACCCCACTCCAAGACCCCCATCACAGCCTCACACCACTCTGAGACCCCCATCACAGCCTCACCCCACTCTAAGACCCCATCACAGCCTCACCCCACCTGAGGCCCCATCACAGCCTCACCCCACTCCAAGACCCCCATCACAGCCTCACCCCACTCCGAGACCCCCATCACAGCCTCACTCCACTCCGGGGACCCCCATCACAGCCTCATCCCACTCCAAGACCCCCATCACAGCCTCACTCCACTCCGGGGACCCCCATCACAGCCTCACCACACTCCAAGACCCCCATCACAGCCTCACCACACTCCAAGACCCCCATCACAGTCTCACCCCACCCTGAGTCCCCATCACAGCCTCACCCCACTCTGAGACCCCATCACAGCCTCACCGCACCCCGAGTACCCATCACAGCCTCACCCCACTCCAGGGACCCCATCACAGCCTCACCCCACCCTGAGGTCCCATCACAGCCTCACCCCACTCTGAGTCCCCATCACAGCCTCACCCCACTCCGGAGACCCCATCACAGCCTCACCCCACTCTGAGTCCCCATCACAGCGTCATCTCACTCTGAGTCCCCATCACAGCCTCACCCCACCCTGAGGTCCCATCACAGCCTCACCCCACTCTGAGTCCCCATCACAGCCTCACCCCACTCTGAGTCCCCATCACAGCGTCATCTCACTCTGAGTCCCCATCACAGCCTCACCCCTATCACGCCCCTGCCCCGCTGGGAGGCCCCTAGGGCCGTGGGCAGCACTGACCTGCAGGCAGCCTTGGCCTCCCGGTGGCGTGTGTGACCCCCGATGCCGAAGCCTGTTCAGGGGCTGTCTGAGAAGGGCTGGGGGAAGTGAGGCTGGTCCCTGACTCTGCCCCTCCTTAAGGCTGAGGGCGGCCCTCTGACGACAGCAGGCCAGGCGTGACGGGAGTTCCCTGCTCCTGCACCAGCCCCAGGGGGATTTCTGGGAGGGAAGTGGGGTGCCGGCCCCGGTGCTGACACCTCTGAAGAACCAGCATCCTTGCTGAGGGCACACATTGTGCTGCAAACCGCGTGAGAGACAGCAAAAGCGGAGCCGCTCCAGCCCCGCCCACGGAGCCGTCCCCCCCAGCCCACTTCTGCCCCGTCATCTCAGAAAGCCTCGGGGCCGCCCTCCAGGGTCTGCAGGCAGCTCCACCCTTCCCAGCGCCTCACGCCCAGCCCGGGGAAGGTTGCAGCACGCACACTCATCCGGGCTCACGAAGACACACTCCACACCTTCCAACACACGAACACACACACACACATGCATGCACATGCACATGCCAATGCACACACCAGCACATATGCATGCACACGCACACACCAACACATATGCATGCACATGCACACACCAGCACATATGCATGCACGCGCACATGCCAACACACACGCACATGCAAGCACACATGCAGACACGCACACACCAACACGCACTGGCACACAGGCACGCACACAGGCACAGGCCAACACGCGCACACGGGTGAGAGGCACATGCTCCCACGTGCACAGGCAGCGGTCGCCTGCCCTGCTCCTCCCCCACAAGGCCACCTGCCCCTCCTCCAAGCCCACCCCCTCAGAAGCCTTCCAGACCACCCCTCCGTGCCCCACTGCCCTAGGGGCCTCCCAGCAGGACAGGGGCGCCATGGGGGTTCTCAGAGTAGGGTGGGGCATTCTCTAGGCTGGAATGTTCTCTCTGGCCCCCACCTCCTAGGCAGACATCTTCCTTCTGAGCTCAGGGTCGGGGAGCCCATAGGCCCAGGCTGCCCCTCTGTGGTGGGGGCCACCCGCCTCCCGGGCCCCGTCCACTCCGAGTGCAGGGAACTTGTCTCCTCAACGTGGGCCCCACAGCCTCTCTCTCTTCAATGACTGGGAGAGGCTGGGGGGAGCTTCAGCCTCCCTGCTCCCACTTCACGGTCGTGGAGACAGGCCTGGGAGCACTTGGCCCGGTGTCACATGGGTGGGGCAGGTCTGAGGCCAGTGCCCGGGCTCTCTACACAGAGGCAGGCACCTGAGGCACCCTGGCTGGGCGTCGGTCCTTCTCTGCTGTCATCCCAGGCCTAGCTCCTTCCCAGCCAGCTGTCCCTCCAGACCCAGTCCCCAAGGCCGGCGCTCGGGTTCCCTGCCCAGGTCCCGTGGGCCGTGACGTTCAGTAGGGAGGGGGCTCCTCACTGCAGGAGGCTCAGATTTGCATCCTCCTGGTCTCAACTCCCTCCCCTCTGGCCGAGGGGTCTGCCCTCTAGGTCGGCAGGAGGCACAACACCTCCTGGTCCAAGCCCAGCCGCCATCAGGCAGGAACTGGAGGTGCCGGCCGGGGGTCTCCTGGGGTGCTCCTCGCATGTCTGGTGGCTCAGAGGCTAAACAGCTAGATGATGCCCCAAGCAGGCCTGCCCAGCCCACCAGAACCAGGGCCCTGCAGAGCCCCCCCCCCCCCCCCCCCCCAGCCCCGAGCTCCACCTCCCCCCTTCGGCTGGGTGTCCTCCCTCCCCAGCAGTGGCCTGGGGCACCCCGTCCATACCAGGCCTGGCCTCCCTGACGTGGCCTGGCGGCTGTGCTCATCACACATTGGAGGGGAAGCCCCTCTGGGCAGGAACACATGGACCCAGCGGATTCTCGTGGGCTGTGTGGCCTTGGGGAAGAAGCTGGAGCTTGAGAGACGTCCGCTGTCTCTGAAGGGCCCCTCACCACTAGGTTCCATCTGTCGTAGGAAACGCTGCCCTGTCTCACCCCCGCCTGTCTCCACCTGCCCCTTGGCTGTCTCTGCAGGGCAGGGGGGGACTTTGGGGCAGCCCCACGCAGCCCTGAGCCCAGGCCCCGGCGCTGTGCCCCGTCCTGTGCAGGCAGGCCTTCCCGGGCCCTCCAGAGCGCCGCTTCTCTCCTGGCTCCCTGCTCACTCCTGGGGCCCTCTCTCCCCAAAGCTGCACCCTCACCTGTTTGAGGTTCCCAGCACCTCACCCGTTTGATTTTATCACAGAACTATTCTCTCAAGTTTCTGTGCACTGGGTTCCTGCTTGTGGGACTCCATCTACTTCCTGCCCTGTCAGAGCCCTGGCGCAGAGACCCGTCTCCGGGAAGCTGGGCAACCCACGCCCACAGGGACTCCTGCCTTGGGGCCAGCAAGTGCCCAGGACACAGCAGTGCTCATCACGTCAGTGCCCGGCTCAGGCACAGCTGCTGGGGGCGGGATGGGGCGCCAGCTGCCCGGTCCTCTGCTGCCACCCAGGCCCTTTTTCAAGGCTGGAAGAGGACTGGATGGCAGATTTCTGTTCCAGGCCAGGCCTGTTCTCTCCCTGTTGGGCAGCCTTAGACCACCTGGCCCTCTGCGGAGGAGAACTGGCAGCCAGGGTCCTGCTGTGGGCACAGGGGCACCGCCCAGGGCCCTGCGCACCCCCACCCCCAGCCTCTGCTCTTGGTCAGCTTCCTCTCCAAGGTTGCCCCTCGCCCCCAGGGTCAGCCCCCTGCGGCAGCGCCAGCCCCTCCCACCTCACCCTGCTGGGCTGTCTGAGGGACACGGGTTCTGAATAGGATTCCTTCCTGCCTTTCCTCCTGGTTCCCCAGCCAGAGTCACCCCTGCAGGCCCACCTAGAGGTGCTTTGGGGCAAGCTTGTCCAACCCTCGGGCTGTGGGCTTTGAATGTGCCCAACACAAATTTGGCAACTTTCTTAAAACATTATGAGATTTACCCACGAACCTTTTTTAGCTTACCAACTACCGTGAGTGTTCGTGTATTTTATGTGTGGCCCAAGACAATTCTTCCACTTCCAACGTGGCCCAGGGAAGCCAAAAGATTGCACACCCCTGCTTTGAAGGGAAGTGTGTGAGGCGCTGTGGGGAGCAGGAGCCTGGGAGAGCCAGAGAAAGGGGTGGAAGTTCAGCTCCACCGTGAGGCCTTCGAGGCCTATCCCCGCCAGCACAGCCCCTGGTCACAGGCTGTTTACAGCGAAAGCTTCTACGACAGCAAAGTGTCCAGTGCCGGCGTCCATAACAATATGCGCTTTCCAGGTCATCACCCGTGGCCGGATGCAGTGGCTCAGGCCTGTAATCCCAGCGCTTTGGGAGGCCAAGGTGGGAGGATGGCTTCAGCATAGAAGTTTGAGACCAGCCTGGGCAACACTGCAAGACCCCGTCTCTACAAAAAATAAAGTGAGCCAGGCATGGTGGTGCGCACCTGTAGTCCCAGCTACTCGGGAGGCTGAGGCGGGAGGATCGCCTGAGCCCGGGAGGCGGAGGCCGCAATGAGTCGAGACGCTGCCGCCGCACTCCAGCCTGGGCGACAACAGAGCGACAGACACCCCCACCCCGTCGGGGACAGTTTTCTTTAAATCACTGGGATAATCATGTGAGGCGCGGTCAGCTTGGTCCTGCAGGATAAAAACGTAAGCTGGGTGTTCCCCTCTTGCTCTCGGACGACGCCCTGCCCAGGAATGGAGCAGCTTTCAGTAAGCTCCCTCTTCTCACGCACTCTGTGACTCACCTTGAATCCCTTCCTGAGTGAGACCCAAGAGCCACGTCCTGAGGTCTAAATGGAACCCCTTTTTCGGCAGAGCCGCCGTCTTAAATGAGCCACTTGGATTCTTGCGGGCCCTTTGCAGTTGGGGTTTATTAAAACAACAGGGTATTGTTTTGTCTTGATGACCGTTTTTCTGGCATCCCTGCAAGCGCCATGCCCGAGGCCAGTGCCTCACGTGCCCACCCGGGAGCTGGGGCCGGCCGGCTGGGTCCTCTGTGCGGGTCTCAGCCACGTACCCTGAGAGAGGATGTGAGTCCACCTCCCACTTCTCGAGGTTCCTCTGTCACCCCCAGTACTTCCTGCTCCCCTCTTCACAGAACCAGGTCTGGAAGTGGGCGTCCTGCTGGGAAGTCCTGTCCGCCACTGATCACGCCTAAAGCCTGGGGCGTCATCGTGAGGGGCTGGTGACCAGGACACAGGGTCTCTGTCTGGACGACATGCCTTCGTGTGTATTTGATATTTTCCGTGATAAAAGTGTATAGAGAACTGAGTGTGTGACACAGTAGGGAGGGGAGGGCAAAGCCCGTCAGTTGTGGGGTGGAGGAGGTGGCCTGCAGGGGTCCCAGGGCGGCTGCCCAAGACCAGCACCTGTGGCCTGGGGTCCCCTCCACCCAAGACCCGCCCTCTGCCCAGCCTCCTGTGATGGCCCCATCCCAGCCTGCCCTGCCTACACCCAATGGGATGTCCTATGTGACCTCAGACTCATCTTCCCACAAGAACCAGCCCCAGGCACCACCCACCCCCAAAGCCAGGGCAGCCAGCAGGAACTGGGCCACAGTGAGTGGTTTGGGTTGAGGGTGACAGGGAAGGCCGAGGCCTGCTCCCTATGCCGGCTGGGTGGGCAGCAGCCAGCAGGGCACCTCGGGGCAGAGTGCAGACCAGCCCAGCAGAGCCCCCAGGCTGCAGGAGACCCCTCCCGCCCACAGCTCTTCGGCCCTCCCCCTCCACTCTTGGGGACATCTTGCAGGCCTCAGCCGTGGCAGAGGTCACCTCTTTTCTTTTCTTTTCTTCTTTTGGGACCGAGTCTTGCTCTGTCACCAGGCTGGAGTGCAGTGGCGCGATCCCGGCTCACTGCAACCTCTGCCTCCCGGGCTTAAGTGATTCTCCTGCCTCAGCCTCCCAAGTATCTGGGATTATAGGCATGTACTGCCATGCTTAGCTAATTCTTGTATTTTTAGTAGAGACAGGGTTTCACCATGTTGGCCAGGATGGTCTCAATCTCTTGACCTTGTGATCCGCCCACCTCAACCTCCCAGAGTGCTGGGATTACAGGCATGAGCCACCACACCTGGCCGGGGCCACTTCTCTTACTTGAAAACCTCCTACCCCATGGCAGGCTCCTTCCTGTGGCCCCTGAGGCCCTCACCGCTTGCCCAGGTGCTCAGCCTGCTTTCAGCAGCCGACAAGCAGCAGGGATGCTGCCAGGAAGCAGTGGGGTGGGCAGGGGGCCTCCCCACGCCTCCAGGGCCTTCCCTACCCCGTGCCAGGCTCCCTCCAGAGGGACTAAGAAGGTGCTGTCCTGGCCGCTCCCTGCCCCGGGTACCCTATGGCTGCCGAAGCCCCTCTGACCCACCCACAGCATGCCCCCCCCCCCCACCAAGGCACCTCTGCTGGGCCTCTCTGGACCCCACACAGGCTCCAGCCATGCCAGGTGTTCGGGGGGGTCCTCACAGCCTGAGTGTGGGGCCCTTGGCAGGAGGTGGGTGCCACCACAGGATGGGCAGGGGACACGGGGCCCCAGGGGTGGAGAAGGGGT